CTGCAACTCCACAGCTGGTATATCCAAAATCAGCTTCCAGGAAAACAACAAGGTTCTGCCATATACTGTTCAAGGCCCAGTTCCCCACAGATCAGATCTCTCACATCCCACTGAACTTTCACTTCTGTTAATGAAAGTTAAGCCACACTGCATTGGACCCAGGGAACAGTAAGCAGATATCCAGGTAGTGACCCTTATACAGAGTATTACTTTGTAGAAGCACAAATCAAGAAAAATAAAATTTGAGTGCTCTCAAGTTTTACTCCACCCGTGTTGTAGCAATCTGATTTGTGAGTGACAGAGTTGTGGATATTTTGCAGCAATCATCTCTGAAAGCGCAAACTGTAACCTCACCACCAAGTATGGTATGAGTACAAAAACCTTCTGAACATCAAAAGCCACAGCTTGTAGGGGTTTTTTAAGGTGTTCCAGTCTAGTCAGGCTTAAACAGAAAGAATCCTCAAACTGGTTGTTTCAGAAATAAATCAATGCAGATAATTAATCTATTCTTATAATGAGAATTGATTAGCATAAAGAAACAAACAGTGGAACTATTATACACACCACATTTATACTTGCTGTCCACATGTTGCACCTATTCCTCTGCTCTTTTTCCTCCAACAACCATCAGAATAATTATTCTCAGAGAGCATTAGCTGCAGCTCAAGCTGCAGGCATAATTTACACTTCCTTGGAGACCCAATTATAGGTTATAAGAAACAGTTCTGAAGACAACCTCCCACTCTACAGCTTCATATTTATATAACTAAACCCCCCATTGTTTCACTTGCCTTTTGGATCTGGCAGCAGAACAACAGAGTGAGAAGGGCTGATTAACTTTAAATCCATTTTAAGATTACTAAATACATAAATCATGAGCAGTTTCCTCCTTTAGAATTACCTTTCTACTTCCCTTTTTAGAAATAAACCATGAATTTGGTGTTACGTAAATCTAATTAAAGCTAGTTAACATTCTTCCCCAGAATGAATCGATGCAATGCATTGCATCACTTGCCTCATATGATAGCATCAAAACAAGGTTATTTGGGTCCTGGAGATATAACAGTTCTAACTGTTAATGGTAGCCAAATTGTACTCCACCATGAGCCTAAGTATGGTTGAAAAAGCTCTGTAGATGTGCAGTTGGGTTTTGTTGGTTTGTTGTGTTCATACAGACTTAGTACAAGTTAAGGCACTGTGTGTTGATACCTGGAGTCTCCTTAAGCCAGGACACCATCCTACTTATGCCAAAAAAACATGCTGAAAATGAGCATAAAGCCAAAGGAGCACAACCTTTTTCTTGAAATAAATCCCTTTGCAGATATTTGAACCCACCAAATGCAAGTGTGACCAATGAGTTTTACATGTGCCTCACTAACAAGCATTCACAACTAGGGATCCATGGTTATATGTAGCACTCACCTTACAAGCTGAGAAAAACTGTGTATTTTCAGCTGGAAATAAGATGCAGCAAATGGACATCTGCCAACAGCTGAAGTCACATTTGTTCTCTTTAAGTCTGTTTTTCTCTCAGTTTTATCAATTGCATTTCTCTGATATATAATCCTGCTGCATTTCTTGGCATTTAAGTGCAGTTCTCACACCCCCTCTTGAACACGGGAAGCTAACATAACGCAAGCATGGACAGTTCTTGACTAATGCACAGCACATGGACAGCAATTTTGCAGTCACTGTCCATGATTTTTGTTACCTAACTTAAAGAAGTAAAAAACGGCAAAGGTCTGTTTAAAAATAGAATTTCAGAAAAAAAAAATAGCTCAATATGCAATTTCAATACACCACCATGATACAATTAAATCTTTTCCTAAAGCAATTTACAAAGCTGAGCATCTACTAATCATGTTTTACAAATACCAAGTGCAACTTACCAGTTAAAAAAAATTACGCAGTTCAGTCACAAAATCTAAATAATACCAGGGCTTGGTATCAGTTAGCAGAAATGTGCAAGGTGTTACAACACATCTTTCCTGATCTGCCTTGCTCTCGGGGTCTAAACTGTGACTGAGGAGTGATTACCTGTGATTTTATTTTTTTAAGCCTTGAGCTGAGACAGTCTTCCAAAAACATGAACTTCCCACAACAATGCACTTTCACTGGTCCTCATTCAGCTAGTTTTGAAATTAATAAGTTGGTGATATTTAAAGAACTAAAACAATTTACATGATTGAACAGCTTATGGAGAGGAAGATTTGCAGATAAAAAGTAATTTATTTTGGCAAACACCTCCAGTTCAGAAAGGAGGGATAAGCACAGGAACCGGAATGACTCTGGGTTTGAATGTGTTCAGAACTCAGCGAGAAAGAGCCAGACCACAGAAGTCAAGCCAGCAGATAAGCTGCAACATTGTACTGAGTAGCAATTCACACATGTAGATGACTGGGAAAGTCCTCATCTGAGAAATTTCCATCTCAGGAGATGGGGGAATCTCCTCACCCTTTTTCTTTACCCAGCCCCACTCTTTAAAGTTATTTCTTCCCATGTACTAAACAGGCTGGAAGCAAACAACACACAGATCTGAGGAGAAGAATGTGAATTCTCTGTTAACATGAAGAGAGGAAATAAAAAAAAAGGAAGCGATACTGGCCTGCAGAAAAAGAAGACTGAGAATCTTAAAGTTCCCTTCATACAAGCACATGTGGGAGCCAAAATCACAAAGATTATCTTTTTCCTGTCATATAACTTCCAAACTCTCAGTTTTCACAGCTTTGAATAAATTCTGAAGTATATGCAGCTTTTCCGTAAGACCTCAGCTTTCTCAGATCTTTCATTCATGAGCCATTTTAAACACATACAGGTATAAAAGTAAGTTTCTAATATCAACCTCATGAAATATCAGCATCGCTTACCTCCATTTTCTCAGCAATCTTAATACAAGAACAGTAAACCAGAAAAGAGCTTTAAGTTAGTACAGTACTATTTATAGTAAATCATACCAAACCCCACAAATTCAAGTATGTCTTTGCAGCAAATGTCAGATTGACTTCACTTGAAAATATATTCACTTTTTTCATTCTTATATTTTGCTTAAAGAATTCACAGTGAGCAGTGAACACATTTTTCTTACAGGATTCCATGTTTATTCAGCTAAAATGGTGCAGCACCTTAGAGTTTATCATTGGCTCTTACATGTGATCATACTTAAAGATAACACTGAAAACTGAGTTAGTACTGTACTGCCTATAACTCAGCAATCCAACCCTAACAATTCTATGATTCTATGATTTAGCAGCCTACCATCACAACATCTCAGATTTATCCTGGCTGACCTACAGTGGTTGCAGTTTCCCTCATTGACTTTAAAAGACACAGATGTTTTGGGTTTCCTGCTCTTCTTGATCATATATTAACTGAGTCTACGCACCTGGTGTCTCGCTTCATTTACTTAGTCACCACCGTTCATTACTTTTCTTTAATCTTGCTCTTTCCCATAGAAGTCCCCTATGTACAAGAGAATCAAGAAGTAAATATAAACTTCAAGAATACAGAAATAGCCTAGTATTTGTTCTAATTTGCTACAGACAAATAATTCCTGATCCACTCAGGAGCTTGAAGAAATATCCAATGTTGAAAGATCCGAATTTAACAACTCATGAGAACCTCTAGCTGCACTTCATCCAAGATCACCAAATGATATAAATTCACTTTTCCACTTGGCAAACAGAAACAAAGAGGAGAGAGGAACGGTTTAGGTGTCAAATGAGGATACATAAAAAGTAATGGAGTGGTTGTCCTCAACAGTATCTTATCATAAAGTAGGTCCCCAGACTTTAAACCCACTCTTAAAATTTTTAAGGGGACTTTCACTTGAGATGACTTAGCTCTCTTTGTCTCCTACTTCTGTACCTTTTTTATTTCTGTACCCTAAGCATGAATACCCTTTCTCCTTTGTTATTAAGTTATTCCTTTTTCCTTTATCTTTTGTGTTTTGCCAGCCTTTCAACAGTGATCTCTTAACACTGTTTCCATTTGTTCTTAAACCTGAACTTGTCTAGCTTATGTTACCTCATCAATTCAGATTACCATCACCTCAGGGAAGGTATCTTCTTTTCCTACATGTTTCTAAAATCTGCTGTGGAGGAGATAATAAATGAGGCCTCTTATTCATCTAAAGTTCAAAGCCTGTAAAAATACAAGTAATCTACATGCCTTTGCTCTTCTTATGAATTAGTAACGAGCCTGGAATGCTTCCCCATAGCAATTAAGACTCATTCAGTTAATATTACTGTATGCTGTCATCTAAGTCCTGTTTTATTCCAAAAGAAAGTTACATATTTTCTCTTAACATCGCTACCAAAAACTGTACAAATAACTTCAGGATTTCAAAAGCCACAGCAACAAAACACTTTTTGTCCTCACTAGTTTACTCAGTTTGTTAGGGTGAGTTACAGTATACCCTACAGTCAGAAGGGTTCAGATAGAGAGAAACCATGCTGACAATGAGATAAAAGGAAGAGTTCCTATGCACCACAGCGTATGTATTCTAATAACAATTATTATGACCTCTGTTAGGAAGAAAAAAATGGATGGGTTTGTGTTGGTGTTGGGAGAGTGCTGAAGGGGAAGAAAAGGAAGAGTAAAACCATCACCAAAACTGGTAACATAAAAAGATCTAACATGTCAAAAAAATTGGATAAAGATGTAGCATAGAAACTACCTTGTAGAATTTATTCATTTATTAAGCTAAAGCAATACAAATACTCATAATGTCACACTTAGTAACTGAAATCTAGTCTACTCTGGAAAAATGTTGAATGTTGCTTGTGTCATTTCTCTTCAGAACATTGCTGCTGTTGGATGAAAAACATAATGAAGGAAGCTTGTTCTAAATCCACCCTCTGCTTGTACAATCTTGACTTTCCTAGTTTATTCTTTCAAAGTAGTGTTGTAAAGGAATGGGCTACAAAAAAGCACTTCTCAATTCATCTGGTTTTATAATACTGTAATACAATAAGCACAAGCCAGAGATTCTTAAATATTACCTTCATACCAGCCTTCATAGTCAGTGGGAATACAGCTATAGCCCTGAATCAAATCCAGAAGACAGACCTTATAGAAGGAATGAAGGAAAGGTAGCATCCTGGGGTCTCTATTCTGCAGGTCCCATTTGCACACCAAACAATTCCTCAACAGATCCAGGATCCCCATTTCTGTTGGCTGAGGTTTGACATCGAAAACATGAAGAGTCACAAAACAGCTCTTGACAACCCCTTCACTTAATAAAACACTTGATCACTCCAGCACAAACTAGAAGGCAACAGCAGGATGCATGTTCTCAAAAACTACATTTGTTTAGTCCTCATGAAGAAAGAGGAAGTTCCTTGCAGATGAAAACCACAGACCTGCTTTACAAAAAAAAAAAAGAGTATTTTTGCAGATTGTTGTGCAAGAAAGTGCGGTTTAAGGTTTACAAACCATAATCCCACTATCTATCTGTAGTACTTGCAACTTTTGTAAAAACCGAAGTAATCTATCTATTGATCTGCTTACAAGGCTGTTACCAGCCTGAATTGTCACATGCTGTGCATTTTCTGCTAGAAATACTGAAACCACGCATTAAAAATTATTATGTTCTCTGACTGCTTTTACAATTTCACCTCATTATTTTATAGTTTTCGGGTAAAGCAAATAATAAGCCTAACTGATATGTCTATCATTTCAGCAATGCATGCTAGAAAGCTACTTTCATAACTGAGCATCTTCTGCCAATCTTTATAGAAATTGAAGAGAATGCACTTTGCAGTAATCAAATTTTGACGGCCAAGATGACCACAGATCAAATTATAAACCAAACCTGAGGTTCCCACAAGCTGAACAGTGCTCCTCCTGCCAACCGAAGCTCCCCAAGGTAAACAGAGAGTTTTGCAGTTCATGTGTTATCCTTGATTCTGAGACTTTGAGAGATGTTGATCAGATTACAGCCTGCAAAGAGAAACTTTTGCAAGTTGCATCAGAAGAGAAAAAGTAAATAAAGAGTCATCTACCCTGGAATCACACTTCCTGAAACTCCTGGGGCCGAATCCCCATGTAGTTGGGGATTGCTTTGGCATGGTGGCGTTGCTAACAGCAGTGTGTAACTTGTAGCTACAATCTTCAGATTTCCCCAGCACCAGCACAGAAGAGCAGCAGCTGTCATCTTAAGGCTGTGTATTCTCTTGCAGGATTCTGTCTCAGGGCAGATTCCAGTGAAAATGACTAGTAAGCAGTGTCTTTTCTTCTTATTATTTTTATTATAATGCAAACAAAATGATGAATGTCTCAGAAATTCACACGGATTTTTTTCCTAAGTGTTGCATCCTGAAGTCACTGCTATTTAAAATATTTTAGAGAAAACAGACCATATGCTAAAGTCTGCATTGTATTTCATACCCCAGACCCAGTCTAGGAACAAATAAAAATAGGTGGATATCCATCAACTTTATTGAATTCACTCAGACAAATCCAAACCTATTGCTAAAACTTAACGATTGTAACTTCAAAACTAGAGGTCCCCTCAGGAATTTGCTGTGGTAATTGCACCTGTGCTTTAACTAATAAACATCATATCAGCGATTATTATACCAGCTCACTTTCGACAGTGCATCTTCATCAACCTTCTTTCAGGGGCAAATGTCACTTGAGCAGCACAGCTTCTCAGCTGGCTCCATCTCTAATGTTTCTTGCAATTCCTGTTGCTAAGACAAACCAGCACCTACAAAAACATGTAATTTCTGCAGTAGGAAGTTGAGGTCTTCAACAGCCACACTGTTTACACAGAGAAACCACAACCCAGGACCAAAGCACCCGCGGACAGAGAATCAGCGCAAACAAAGCCCAATACCGGGAAATGATTTATCACCATATAGGCCAAACCTGTGACTGAATGAGCAGAAGCAGACTGCCGTACATTTTAATTTAGGCTTTTTGCATAACACGTGAAACTACATTCAAGGTTTTTGGTAGGAAGGGGAAGGATGAGGGTGACAAAAAGTGTTTGGATTTCCCCACAGAGACAGGTATACAAATCAGCAGTCAGGCAGCTACATTACCAGTGACTTGGCTACACTGATGGGAAACACCTAGGGCAACAGCAGCGATTACAAAGAAAACACCTAATTGCATTTTGGACAAGTGCGGTGAGGGTAATGAGGCAGGATGCAGGACAAAAGTGGATGAAGACTGGGAGAGCTGGGGAGGCAGCAGGAAGGCAACAGCCACCCTGACACCAATCAAAGGGAAGCATCCAGGATCACAGGACTGGGAATTCCAGTAAAGTGTCAATACATTTCATAGAAACACAGAATGGTTTGGGTTGGAAGAGACCTTAAAGCTCATCTAGTTCCAACCACCCCCTGCCACAGGCAGGGACACCTTCCACTAGACCAGGCTGCTCAGCTTGTTTCATACAGAAGTTCGCAGTGATACTCTCGCACGACTTCGTAATTTTTGTATTTTAGGGATAAACTCTCTATGCAATTCCCTCTTTCAATTCCCTCTGTTGCCTTTCAACTGAAATTGTCTCTCAATTTCCTGTTTCTTTTCCTCAGACTTAATCAGATTAGTTTGTTTTTAAATCTCCTGCCATTAAACGTGGATGTTGCTACAGGAGGCTCCTTACAGCATTTTAAAATGTTATAACACGAACTTTACCATTTTTTTCTGTAACTGCTTCATTAGCAGCCAAGAATTAGGAAAACATTGAGAAAAAATATCATCTACCACAAAATGATGTTAAAAAAAAGGGGGGGGGAGGATATAAAGAGATTTTACATTTAAGAAATTAGTTGGTCTTCACTAAACTTCCTCATTTATCTCGGGGTTTTGGTGGGTTTTTTTTTATAGAGAACAATCATTTATTGGGACATGGTGGGCAGCCCTCGCAGGAGCCTCGTTCAGCGGGTCCGTGCAGCTCGGTTGCCATCACTCAGCCCTCTTACACCCCGGCGGCGCTCCCCGGCAGTATTTAACCCCAAGAGCCTGCGGGAAGGGCAGCGGAGCCCGCCGGGCCCCTCGGCCTGCGCCGCCCGGCACCGCGCCAGGGCTCGCTCAGCCGCGCGCTGCCGGGGCCGGCGCGGGCTCTGAGGGGGCGCCAGAGCAGCCGCTACCGCAGCCCTCGCCTCGGCAGCGGGCGCCCCCGCGCGCTCAACGGCCGCCGCACTCGCCCGGCCATGAGTGACGGCTGCGGGACCCACCGGCGGGCTACGTCAGCGGAAGCAGCCTCCTCGAAGCGCGGGACGCCGTTGCCGTGGCGAGGGGCGGCCGGGCCAGCGCCGCTCCCCCGAGCGCTCTGGAGGGCGGCCGCCACCAGCGCCTCCCGCACCTGCACGGCGCCGCCCCGGCCTGCCTGCCGGGAGCCTCAGTGGTGCCGGTGGCTGGATTGAGCGCAGGAGCGGCCGCAGCACTGCCGCCAGGAGTCAGCTGGGAAAATGGCGGCATGAAACACAGCTGTTAAAAGCTCCACCCCAAACGCAACGTTCGATTTATGCCTTCGGACGGTTATTTCCGGCGTCCTGTGCCTGCCTCAGCGCGGGTATGTTATAAATGAGGCTCTGCTATGCTAAAACCCCAAAACTCACACAATACCCAAGCTGGCCTTCGGCAGAGCAGACCGTAGCCAGTGGCGCCTGCACGCTTCTCACACTACTTTTTGCACTCAAGACTACAAGATACGGAAGAATTACTTAAGACATTAAATACTAAAGAACTGACAGTGGTGTCTATGTCACTTGTCTGCTGCCACGTGGGCACAAAGTACTTCAGCATAAAAAGAGCCTTTCACTGTTTTTATGACCTGGTTAGCATTAGGTTATTGACATCAGGGAGTAACTGCATTCCTTATTTTGCAGTATCATGCAATTTACCTCTGAGGATAAAAACAGTTTAGCTTTGGCAATAGATAAATGGCACATATTGGGAAACAGTGGTCCCAGCAGCCAATGAAATAAAGTTCACATACTCTTACCTCAGTATTTTACAAACTGGCCATTTAAGTTACAGTTCTTCACAACTGGCAGTACCACTGGCTAAGATGCAATTCATGTCAGCTTTACTGTAAAAGCCCTCTAAATTTCACTAGTGCCCAACACTGTTACTTCATTAACTAGGATCAAATCACACATACTAGAGGGGCAACTTGCAACCATCAGCAACAATTCAAGACTTAAAGTAGTCAGCATAAAAAAAAATAAAAATGTGTCTATATGGTTTTGGTCTGGCGCTTAAAACAAGAGCTGGCTCACTAGCTTTAAGTAATCACTTCATCTTTAGCACTAAAGATTCTGGCTTTGACTTGCAGGGTCAAGCCATTTGCAACTGAATACCTATATTGATGTTATAACTAAACAAGCAATACTTTATGTAGTGTTTTTCAGACAAATACATCAGAAATTCATGTAGTGCAGTTCTGGAGCTGTGCTGTTGCTTTATATTAGCTGTAAGGAAGGCTGAAGCTAGCTGGCACCTTTTCTGTCCCACACATGGTAACTACAATTGTGTACCCTACTTGAGGAAGATATTGACTGCAAGTTAATGAACACTTACTGTATTATTTTAGTCATTAGGAAACAGTTCCAGTACATTACTGCTGTTACGAATCCTTAAAAGCACACCAGCTTGGAATCACCATCTGTCAGGCCATAAACACTGACAAGAAGCTTTAACAGCTTTTAGCCTAAAGCAATCTATCCAGCTAGTGTGCCTCAATGACCACATGGACACCACCCTCCTGCTACAATTGCTGTGAATTAGCAACATTCAGAATTCATGCATGCAAGCCCAATTTCACCCTATCATGGAAGTCAGCCTAATCTCAAAGAAATCCGACACGTTCACAACCTGTGGTCTAGCAAAGAGTCTAACACTGTTCCTGCAATCTACCAACCAAGAGGCAACTTACACCATGAGTGACTATGAGCCTCATGTTTTGATAAGCACAGTGTGCAAATTCCTCAGCTGGTACTCAACAACCACCAGTAGTTTCTAGAAAACAAATGGATTAAAATAGTCTGCATTTTGTATGTTGACTAAAACCAGAAGCTAGACAGCCATCATCCATCTAGCAGCAGCTGAAGCACTGGGGTGACAAATGCAAGTTGTAATTTAGAAAGACATTTCATTAACGCCACCATGAAAAAGCGAAAAAAAATGTAACCACATTGTTGAACCAAACCCAAAATACTTCTATGCATAACACTAATAAAAAAAAAACCAAAACACAACATTGATCACTCTGCTGGAAGTCCAGCACTGCTCTGCTCCAAGACTATTACTCAAGAGAAGTTGATGTACCAGGCAGAGCTTCAGTGCCTGCAGAAACCTGCTTCAAGTGCTTCTCATGACATAAACCTGGCAATAACACAGTAAAAAAACCTTCAATTGTTTCTTCAACCTATTTCAACTCTTCCCAAACTGTTCCCAGCGATTTCCCCTTCCTGCCCTCTTATACCCTACCTCAGTGGAAATAGGACTAGGACTGTTTCACTAGCCCAAAAAGCAAAGCTTATCGACAGCAACTTAAGTCTTTCACACATCATTTTTTAGTTCACTGCTACCTACTTTGTACTGTTCCATTGCATTTCTTCCTCTGCACTCTTGCCACTATACATTCCCAAAGACCATGTCAGTATCCCCCCAAGACTTCACCTGGATGTCACTCCAGTGTACAAAAATGCCCTTCAACAGAACATGACATTTCAGAGTCATGAACTTTCATGACAAGTTCAGAGACAACTGTAAAGAGGATCACCAACTGAAAGAGCTGCATGAATACAGGAAGAACCTATTTATTTTGCTACTCTGTAAGGACAAAACAATAAGGTATTCCTACCAAACGCTGGACACTGTAGCCAAGCAATCCGAAAAGACAGCGAGAAGTAGTCAAACCACTAATCAAAACTCCCAGAAATAAGGAGACAAGACTTAGATGTGAACACTGACAGGACAATTCAGGACAAAAAAAAAAAACACAAAAAAACTTGTGTACATCAGTGCATTTTACACATTGTCTTTATTCAAAAAATTTGAATAAAACAAAGGCTTTTATGCAACAAGAACACAGGCACCACCAACTTCTTTGATCTTCTCCTCTGCTCTCCTACTGAAGAACTTTGCTTTTACAATCACAGGCTGCTTGGGCAGCTTCCCTTTGCCCAGGACTTTGTAGTAGCCCTAGAAAGATTAAAAACCCCATTAAATGCTTGTAATCAGATTGAAGGCTCCCACATTCAGACCTATCTTTTAGAATGTACTAGTTAAAACCAAAACCATGACCAACATGACCTCATTCAGAGTCTGTCTCATATAAAAATTGTATGAATGAAAGAAAAATACCTTGCATGATTTAATGGAGTTGCACTTGTTCAGAGAAATAGTGGAAACTGTAAACTGAACCTTGCTTGTAACTTAGAAGCTGGATTTTAATTTCCCATACTCCACATTACACAAAAAAATTGCATAGAAATCACCAACTTTTCACTGCTTTTCCAAAGGAAAGAGCAGTTGGCTGCACTTCCAAGACTACCCACTACCCAATGACTTCCAGTTGGTGATCTTTATCTGTAAGACATCCTGGTACCACACAAAGAGGAGAGGACTCTTCTGCACATCTTAAACGCACAGCTGAAGCTTCTGCGTATTTTCACAGCAACAGCTGTCCTCCACCACTGTAATCCTCTCATTTTATTCCCGTCCTTTACACTAAAAGGACAATTGTGGTACAAGGTTCACTTATACTACAGCCCTTGAAGTCATCGCTTGCTAGAAGTGGCATAATTGTTCAAGTCTCTTCATCTGGGATGCAGAAAACACCCACTTGGCAGCCTAGTTTGTGTTGCTGATTCAGTGGCTGGCTGAGACACAAGACATCACAGCCAGTGAATAGAGATCAGGCATTCATGTCCGAGAGCTATAGCACACCAAGACAATCAAACATGTTCAGATGTGACTCTAGTCTCGATGTTAGAGAAGTGACTTCACACAAAAGAGCCTAGCTCTGCAATGCTTTTAAGAATGCGTTCAGTAACATTTTTAACAAGTAATTTTTCACCACCTTCCAAAAAAGGGCAGTCCCTGTCCACAGTCACACTCAACTATGAGAAAAAGTTCTTACAGTAAGAAAAGGTAACAGCATTAAGTACCTGTGGTGGACTTATATGCCATATAACTGTCCAGAGGAGATCACAAATATTCAAGCACAGTAATTTATTTGCAGTTCAACACTCTCCTATTTGGATACACACATATTGACCAGGAATTCCAGGTATGGCTATGAGCAGAAACTTACCGAGCGCACAACATCAATGACTGGAGCCAGTCCAGCCTCATTTTTGGCATAATTGAGCCTTGTCTGTTCACTGACCAGCGTCCATAGTTTATCCAAATTGACAGTAGGACAGAACTTTTGGTTTCTCTTCAAGTGATAGTGCCTCATGCCTACTTTGCCAAAGTAACCTGGGTGACTGTGAAAGAAACAGAGTGCTCAACAGATCATTCTTAATTCCTCCTGAGCAGGCAGCACTACAAACTAACACTGAAGCATCTTACTTATCAAAGTAATTAACATGTCGTATTATACCTCTGTATTAATAACATGCAGTATTTAAGTGTAATAATCATTAGTATTGAAACCAGGGAAAAATTATCCTCTCTAGAAATGTCTATTCCCTTGAACTCACAACTCAATCCCCCTCACTAGCGAGTCTAGTCCAGTAGTGTATCTCCCAAGCAGCCAGAGATTGCCCAGGGAGGGCAGCTCTGCCTGAGGGGTTTCAGCGCCCCTGTCACTAACCTGGTGACTGACTGAGTCAAGAACAGAAACAGCCAGTGAATATAGATTAGTGGTTACTATCCGAGTACTCTAGCACACCAGGACAACAGGCAGTGTCCAGATGTGACTCTAGTCTCGGCGATAAGACAACATCCCTTACCTTTACGGCACGTAGCTAAATAGGATGCTGTTTGGGTTTAACACAACATTTTGAATTTAGACAACATTTTATGTGCGCATGGTTATTTACACTGTAACAGGCAAGTCTGGTTGAACTCCTAAAGCCTGGTTTAAGTGAAAAAGACTTTGATAGGAGGGTAAATGGGGACAGGAGTTGACTGTAGCTGTAAGCCCACGTTTTATGTTACAGCTAAAAACACACTGCAGGTAATTTAACCCATTCACATAAAAATGTTAGTTTATACTTCAGGAACATACATTTTACTACTGTATTATTTAAAACGTTAGCTTACTATTTGTCAAAGTTAATCCTGTGGTGGTGCATACCACCAGCATTACCACGTCCTCCAGGATGTTTCCTATGTTTGCCTAAAAAGAAAAATTTTAATTTGTTAAGCTAAGATTACACATAATACCTGAACTTTAACTATGTTTTTCATTTCAATGCAAGCTAATTGTTCTATTCCCTTTTCTGAATTAATTTCAATTCAGGAAGACAAGCCAACTAAAAGCTAACACTACAGAAGGAAAAAAAAAACATCCACAGCATTCCTCTGGTTAGTTTACAGGAGTACAAGACACCACCAGTGCTAGCACAAGTGGGGTGACAAGAAACGGCAGAAATGGTCTTGGAAGGGAAACAGCCCTGCCCCATATGCTTCCGATGTCGCAGAGCCAGCAGCTATCACTTGAGCACTACTGAAATTAAGTTATAAATCCAGTGAAACCTAAAAGAACGCGCGTGATTTCTGCTCAGCCCATCAGGGTGGCATCTGCCCCATGGTGAGAGCACTACCCATATATACTGCACCCACCGGTGCTGCTCACCGGTACCCGCAGCGTGCGCGACCGCCTCACCACAGCGGCATCCCCTCAGCGCCGGGGGTGCGCCGGCGACAGCCTCCTCACTCACCAACGCGGCCGTGGCCGTGGCTAACATGTCCCCTCAGCTTCCGGGTCTTCCTTAGCCTGGAAGGCTGCGGGGAAGCGGGAGAACAGCTGTGAGCAAAAACAAGCATCAAGAGGTAGCACCACCATCCGCCCGCCCTTGGGGCCAGCGCTGCTCCGGGTCTGCTGCCCCTCGGCAGCCACGCGCCATGGCGGCCCGGACCCGCCGCGGGAAGGCCCACGCGGCCTCACCGCCCCACTCTCCTCCGCCACACCGTGGGCAGGCCGCGGGCTCTGAGAAGCGCTTTCCTCCACCCCCGCTGCTCCCTAACCACGTCCCGCCGCGGGAGCGAGGGACGATGGCCCCGCGGACCCCTGCCCGGCCAGGCCAGGCCAGGCCCAGCCCTTCCCCAGCAGCACCCACCATCTTCCCGGCGTGCGAGAAAGAAGAGAGAGAGGGCGGTGCTCGCGAGAACGGGGTAAAGCGCCGCAAGAGCGGAAGTAGAGCTGAGCTCTCGCGAGGTTTCGCTCAGGTGCTCGGGGTGGGGACAAAGATTCGCGAGAGCCGCGGTGTGGGTGTGGCGTCTGGGGTTCGGTAGGGTTTGGGCCGGCGGGGATCCCTTGAGGCTGGAGAAGCCTAGAAGCGCGGCTGTCCGCCGTGCCCCGTGGCGGCAGGGTTCCCCGGCCCCCCGGGGTTGCCACCGCTCTGCCCACAGAACGGGTGCAGCTCCGAAAAGCGGCCCTGCGAGTGGCCAAAGGTAGCGGGCAGGCAGCGCCAGGTACCGCTTGGTGTTGCAGCCGCAGCGTGTGCTGTCTGCCCAGTGTGGTCTGTAGCGAAAGTAGGGTCTTAAACAGAGTTTGGGAACATTTGCAAGCTTGGTCACTTTATTAAACATCCGTAACAATGGGGAAAAATATACTTAACTACCTCCCACACTAGAGTGACAATTCCTGGGAAGCATTATTAATTCTAAAGCTTGGTTTTATTTATGTATTTTATGCTGTGAGACTTTGCCTATTTAAAGGGCATTGGATCTGTTCTTTGTCACGATTTCCTGCTCAGTTCAGTGGTGCACTAGTAATGCTCCATCCTGGGGAACACCACTGCTTTAGCAACTTTCAGACGGCAAAGTAACACACTTCATGGTTTTGGGTCATCTAACGCTTTCAAACACAGGCCTCTGGATCACACTAGGCCTGGTTTATATTCTTGTACATCAGCATTCTGTGGCTTTTCCTTGCCTTTGTGGGAGCTCTTCACTGCTACACTTCTTCAGCCAAAGACAATCCTTTACCCATCACTTTCTTCAGAAGAATATGTATTTCCCCATGTATTGACTAGCGGATGTTTGTAAAATGGCCAGAATCCACCCATACAAGTGAAGTTACTCCTTCCACTCTGAAGAACTACACTAGCATTCATTCTGGAACTTACAGCATATCTTACAGTGAAAGGAATGGAAATTAACATTGGATTACACTTTCACTGAATCAAAAGCATTGATATTTTACAGGCTCTTCATAGACACTTTGGCAGCTTTTGTACGTACACGAATGTGAGGGAAGTAAGAGAAAAAGGAAACGACTTCACCTTTTTAGTAAACAATCCCTCAATTTTGTTCTATGAGGCTGATAGCAAACCAGAACCACTGTCAGGTTAGGAACTGCGCAAGCCTCAAAGCCAGTGTAACTAAAGAAGCCGCACTGCAAATGAAGAAATTTAGTGCTTGGGGTTTTAAAAGGGATCCTTAGCTAGTTTTCATTAGCTGCTTCACTTGCAAATACATTCAAGTATTTGATATTTTCTTCAGACTAAGGGAAACATTGCACAATCTCCACAGGAGTTGTGTGAGCAGATCAAAGATGAATGTGGTACTCAGACAGCATTCACAGCTGTGAAGGTGGTCATGGCAAGCTCAGCACTCCCATCAGGCTGAAGGGCCTCTGCTGAAACAGAACTACCACCTGAGCAGGCTGCAGTTAAGTGCAAAGGAAAAGCAGGCTCCTGTGAAATGTTAGTGATCAGCTCATTGGAAATCAAGGGAAGGCCTGTCTGCATCCAGCTGCTTGTATTCTACTTTGATCACCTAACCAAGGTAGCACAAGACCAACCTGAAAATACCACAGTTGAGGAGCAGCGTATGTGATACAGTGACAAAAATAACTTGCTGCTAAACTATTCAAATAAAAAAAAGTTTTAAGAGATGCTTCTGTTAGGGGTACAATTACCAGAACAGGGATGTAAAATGCCTTGTCTCAGTGCAATGGAAAACATTGAATTAAACTACACATCATGAAATAGCAAACCTACTACAAGACAGGTTCATAACCATTTCATATTTTAATTGCAAATTCATTAAAAATCACAGGGAAGTTACTGGTTTTGTAACCTACTCAACATCAGAACTGCAGAGGTTTGCAATGAATATAAACAAACAGGTATATTTACAGAGTTTATTAGAAACCATACATACATACATTAGGAAAGGACGTACTGTACCTACTCGTCGCAGCTTGCATGTCAAAGAGCTGAGATCTCCTCAGGTTTAGCAGTCTTAGTGCAGAATGGATTACAAGTAGTTTACTGACCAGAGTTCAAACCAACTGGAAGTTTTGTATTGTGAACCAAGTACCTTATTATCAAGTTACTCTGTTATTTTTCTTTTAAAATTAATTAAAATGAAAAAAAAAGGAGGATGGGGACACCCAAACAGACAACTCTGCCACATGAAAGCAGCCACTGTGCACACAGCCTCTCCCACGTACCCGAGTTCATTCACTTCGCAGTATTCAGGCATCAGTGTAGCTCTCACAAACATCCCTTGAAATCAGTGGTTCTGCTGACAGTCAGCTGCACATAATCGGCTATTCATTTTTTGCACCAAGCATAACTCAGTTCATACTAAAGAAACAAAAAGCACCTGTTATTGTCAGGAATATACAAATATTTACCACAGTTTTCCTTGCTCATTACAAAATCAGTTACAAAAGCTTACAGCACATTATGTACAAATTCTACCCAAATAGATATAGGAGCCATCATTGGGCACACTAACAGCATCGGGCATGCTAACAGCATTGGTCGTCATGTAAGGCTGCAGTCATCTCACCCTGCTCTCCTCCTGCACCAAGCTCTGCAATGCTGCAGGTGCCTCACGCAGTGCCATAAATATAGTCTTTGGACTGGCATTTCAGCAGAAAGGAGTTAGTTCTTCTTGTGCAGGAACTTCATTTTGTTTCCTAAAGAAAGCACACCATCAGTCTCCACACATACTGAGAAGCCGAGGGCAATCAAAACTTACTTAGCAAATAAGTCTAAATTTGTCATGGAATTGCTGTAGAGTAACTCTCCTTCTTAATGCCAGCAGGGACAGGCAGCTAACAGAACCTGAGTGGTCAAGTGCCTTTTCTCCACCTCTTTGGTCATGGTTTGGTTTCACTACCCCCAAATGAAAATGAAAGTGTTAACAAGGATCACAGTTAAATCTGGTTTTGTCAGCTTTAAGTATGCTTTTGCTGTTTGCACGTTTCCTATCACCTCAGGTAAGGCTTTATTGAATTACAAAAAAAAGAAAAAAACAGATACGAAAATCCATTTCAGAAATACTTCTAAAGCTTTTCCTCACCAAGGCCTCGTAGAAACTTGTTTACTCCACTTTGTTCCGTGTCTGGAAGCTCTTCCAAGTACTGTTCTACCCTCTGCTCGAAGAGGCCTGTGGAGGAGGGAGAAAACGAAGCTGAAGTGAGCTGCGCCCGGCTGGACCCGCTTACCCCAGCCCCTTGCGCACCTCCAGCTTTTTATTTACAGACCCCTTCACCTCCGCAACACCGCCACGCGTTACCGCCCGTGAGGGGCGATCTGGTATCGTGTGGCACAGAATTACGTGCAGGGTAACAGATTCAAGCCAGGGGGTGAAGGCCGCTCTCGCCCGGGCCGGCAGCTCGCGCAGCCGCTCCGGGCCTTGTCGGCTCCAGGCCGCCGAGCGGGATCGCCGCCGGACGGACGGCGCCAAGAGCGCGCCTCTGCTCAGCAGCGACAGGCCGGGAGACGGGCCCGCCGCAGCAGCAACGCCGGACCGCCCCGGGCTGCGCCTCCTGCTCCCTGCCCTCGCCAAACGCGGCCCTGGCTGCAAACCCCGTTACCGCCCGGCGGCGCCTCTGGCTATCGGGGCGAGCGGGCTGCGATCCGGGCCCGGGCTGGATTCCCGCCAGTGCCCGCGCTGCTCCGGCAGGCAGCGCTGCAGTGTCACGAGCACGGATGGGGGAACTCTGCGTGCGGGAGGTGGCTCCAGCCCCCGCCTTCGGTTGAGCATCAGGTGAGCGGGGCTGTAGGGGAAGCTTTCACGCCTTCCCCCCCGGGCACTGGCAAGCGGCCTCCGGGACTGTGCCCTTCGGTGAGTGGCTCCCAGTCTCACCTCAGTGATTCAGGGCATTCGGATGTGATTGTTCTGTTGGTTAAAGCCTTTATATTACCACCACCATAGCTACAATCTAAGCCACAAGAAGCAAACTGTGTTTCAGATTTGTCAGTTCCCCAGAATTTGCTCAGCCCTGGCAGTAGAGAGGGACACCAATCACAGCACCTGCGCCCAACACAAGTAACCGACGCTGCAGGAAAGACAACCACCCTTACCTTTTGCCCTGCATTTTCTCAGCTCTCTGTCCTGGATGAAGCCAGCAAACATTTGGGATTCCATGAAAACTTCCAAGAAGCGGCGGATACTCTTGGAGGCCACAGATTTACGGAAAGCTTCCCTTTGGAAGGCACGCTCTCCTTTTTCATTCTGGGTTAGGAACAGGGAATAATGGCCAACTGTCTCCACAAAGAACCGGATAAAAACCTCTGACACTAATCCATTCAGGGTGTTACATTCTGCAAAATAAGGCAGCAATAAGACACCAAAATCAGCTGCTACCAGACCTGTCAGCATTGTCACCCATGCAAGGCCAGGTACTGTCATCTCTGTGTTTACTGTTATGCTAATAACTGGGAGCAGCTGTACCGTCTCCTTGCAGACCTGGATGTACACCAGACAGGGTAACAGCTTTATAATCAGGAGTGCAGTCTACATAACTGGTGTTTCATAACC